ACATTGTTAGCAGATGAAAGTTGCTCAAATGTACCCTTACGCAAGTGCCGCATCTCATAGCTCAGCATGTGAGCATACACGTCGCTGACAGTGTATACATCTGTTCTGGTTGTAATGCTTGTGACTAGAGGATCATAATCTGGACCAAGTCCTTGCAGCATGTAGGCGATGAGTTCTTCATCCTCTATTCGCTTGCCAATGGCAGCAAGTGTATCACCAAGATGTTTTACTTTACGAAAGTAGTCAGCAATTGTCATGTCCTTTTTCTGGATAGTAGAGAGTTCCATACGGATCTGCATTGCTCTTGCTCGAGATGTGGAAGCAAATTGTCGCTCCAGCGTAATCCAGGCTTCTCGTGCAGTGGTGATTCCAACCATCGTGCTGAGAACCTCCTCAGTGACTGATGAGTTGATGAGGCTGAGTACCAGCTGGTCCTGGGGGTACCAGACTGTGAACTCAGGGTTGATGATAATTTTGCGATTCCCTGTTTCTTCACTTGGTTCAACGGCGATCGTCTGGCTTGGTGCAGGCATGGATCCATCCACAAAACCAACAAGGTTTTGGCTACGCAAGTAGGGAAGGATTTGGGTAGACCACAGTAGATAATTTTCTTGTGTAAGCTTAACACTAATCACCTGACTGATCGACGGAGAAGACATTGTGTTGATTGGGATTGACATGTTTAACAGCAGAGGCTATGGATCTCGTGGATCTTATTTGGGCTCTGATACCATATCAAGTTTATGCAAAACTGTACCTCACACTATTGAGGACATATTCTATTTATATTGGCAAAAGATTAACTAATAGATCCGATTTCATAGGAAACTAACGAAGTAAGCCTATTCTTATGGCATGACCAACTTCAAGCTATTCTAATGGATTGACCAATTCTAACATATATAAGTACGGTTACATTACAACTCAAATTCTTTACAATTCATGAAATTTTGATATTTTAAAAATAAAATTAAAGCTTGGGATTAACCTCATTAATTAATAAATTAATAATAAAGAAGAATGAGCAAGGAAAATGTTGAATTTTGATGGCGTGATTAGCGGAATTGCTTTGTTGTCCCAAATGCCAAATGAATGCACAAACAAAGCCATTGAAAAGTAATAACTTGCTTTCGTACTTTATTAGGAATAATTATTCAAATTCTAAATTTCAACTCATACTCTGCCATTTTGGATGCATCATATCAAATTATCATAACAAACCACATTACAATTTAAGCTTATAATTACACTCACTTCCTAATTATATGGATAATGTTTCATTTTTATTACAATAAATACCCTTAAATTTATCCATTTTTATTCTAAATTTAAACTTGTTACCATTTTAATGAAATTTCATTGTTTAAAACATGTTTTTTTAAAATAAATATTCTTATAATCTCGATTTTATTGAAATTAATAGCGATTCTTACATTGATTTTTGTTAAAATTAAATTAAATAGAGACTAAAATTTAGGTTTAATTTTGAAATTGAGAGAGAAAAAAGAAGTGATTTTTAAGGGACAACTACCCGCTCCTATGTTCCTCCTAAAAAGGCTAAATGCACCAACCAGGGACAACTTTGGAGAAACACAAACAGTCCCTTTGGATCAAATCTTCCCTTTATGAATTTCTTGAAATTGGAGAACAAAAGACCAAACAACACAACTTAAACCAAAACAAAATATGATATTATTAGATATAATTGGAGTGTCAAATATTGAAAATTATTGGGAGAGACTCCCCACTGCATGATTAAAAGAAATGAGTTTATAAGTAAGAAATACATTTTTATTGAAACAAGATCTTTTTTGAATAAACAAAAAATAAAATCGTAAAAATTTATATTCAAATAGATAATATCATTATTAGATAAAGAAAACAGTGATCCATCGGGTGGGCTCCTCCGGCTTTCTTTACTCTATGAAGAAATCTTCAACGAGAGATCATAATGACCAACTCCAAGCCCTCTCTCGTATTTATTGTCTTCTCCTACTTCTTCTTCTTCCTCTGTCCAAATAACACAATTCAACTCCATCGCCACTCACCAAAACAAAACCCCTCAATGTTCCTACTACCCTCCATTTCCACCACCAAAAAATTCTTCAAAAAAACCATATGTAACTTCAAATCTTTCTTCTCCAACACCTACCATCGCCTACCCAAGGCGGCGCCGCCCTTCACCGCCGGCCCCGAAATGGCTAAAGATGAGGTCCAAAATGGAAGCTTTACGAAGAGTAATGGCAACAATGCAGTTCATTTTTCGAAGACGATCGACAAGACCCAGATGGACAGAGTTGAAAAAAATGAACAGAGCATCAAAATTGGAGCGACCCATCAAAGGAAATCCCAAGAAAACAGGGAATCGAGGTCGAAGAGGAGTCGTAGGTTGTACGAGTACGATGAGAGGAGAGTGTGTTTGGTTGCCAAGAAAATCAAAGAGTTGGAAAAATTAGACGCGAGAAATGTGGATCATAGTTTGGATATTGAAGAGATCCTTCATTACTACTCTCGCCTCACTTGTCCAACATACCTCGAAATTGTGGACACATTCTTCATGGACATGTTCGCTGAATTCTGTTCTAACTCCTCGTCTTCTCAACACAACAAAATTTGAATTTTGGTCCTCGGATTTCTGGTAGACCATATTTTAATGGGTATCATTTGGAATTTGATTCAGTGTTTATTATGATTCATCTGAGTTCATAGATTTAATGATAGAGTTGTGTGTGTAACGTAGTTTGATTTGAATGTTTATGAAGAAATAATCGTTTTTTGAGTTCGACGGTCGTTTTTGCTTCGAATGAGTAGAAAAGACAATTACTTTTTTGGGGTTTTGTGGAAATCAAGGTGGCTGTCAGCGCCTAATCCGGATGTTGAAATGGATGCTAATTTGCGTTTCTTTTCCTAAGAAACTACCCAAATTAAGGGCATAAGCCTTGGATTCTAAGTCACTAATGTCTTACACAACAGTTTTCCTTTTTAAAAAAGTGTTTGGTAATCAAGTATTTGGATTTTAATTATCCAAATCATAATGAACAATCCTTGTTTTGTTTTCTTCTTTTTAATGGAAATAATAATGGGCTCTTATTAAAATTTGACCAAAAGGATCGTGGAATCCGATGAGAGTAAAAAGGAGATCCAAAAGGGTGTTTGTAGGAAGAAAAGCATTTAAAAAGGGATTCGTTGGGGGACTTTAGGAAGAGCTGGATGGACCAAATCTATGATCAATCATTTCAAGAGCATCAAGGATTAGTATTGGGATTGAGCTTGGGCTTTTGGTGTAATTAGCGATCCATTGGCAGCTCCAATGTTCTCGGCCCAGCCCTTTATTTGGTAATCAAGTTCGTGCAAGTATGAAGAGTCTGTGTCATCAGCCTGTGGTGTGGTGTATATGAAGGATTTGTGGTCTTCTTCTTTCTCACACGCCTGCATGCATGTCTTGCCCTTATCACCCTCTTCATATAAAGCTATGCCTATTAACACCCACACATATCACATCCAATTCCTCTAAAAAAAAACCCAAAAAAAAAAAAAAAATACTACATGACCCACCCCTTTCTTTCTTTCTCTCTTTCAAATGTATGTTCGAAATCCAAACTTTTAGTGTTAAAAAAGTGAATGAAGTCGTACGATTCAAAAAGTATTCAATTTAGCTGTCTTTTAATAACTATTGGATACTATTCAACCTGGCATGCCCACCTCTTCTTTATTACAACGTTTCAGTGACACCTGATCCACAATGAAAGCACGATCACTCGTTATTGGGATTGAGGTACAAGTTACCAACCAAATGAGGTAGGGTGGAAAAAGTTTGATAGTGAAATGACATATCCATTTATTTTTGTAAGCAATCAAGTATTTGGAGCAAAATGACGATTTTAATCTTTTGTAATTGTCCTAGTACACTGTTAGCATGTATTATTCTTTTTGGGTTTTTCCTTTCGGATTTTCGCTCAAAGTTTTTAAAACTCGTCTTATAATCTTAAGAGGAAGCCTGCAAGGGAAAGCCAAAGAGAACAATGTATGCTAGCGATGAGGTTAGAGCGTTAAGAAAGGAAAGGAATGTGTGAGAATAAGCATGAAATGCTATACAAATCAATATAGTACTAAGTGAAGTAAGGCAAACAAAGCACGCGTATTTCTCCATTAGTTTTGTTTGTAACGTCAAGATTAAAAGGTCAAAGAGTAAACCCCACTTCACATGTGTTCGGGGTGTGGAATGCGTGCGCAGGGAATACAAACTATGGTGCCAATCCGAAGAATATGATATTATTGGGGTTGGGGGAATAGAATTGAATGGTGTGTGGGCGTGAAAGTAATGACACCATAGTGGTTAAACATAGCGTCCTTTAACTTATGGCGAAAGGCCTACTGGTGAAAGATATAGAATACCAAAAAGGAGCAGTTGAGAATTAAAAGGCGTAGGAGGAGAGGCAGGAACAACGATATGGAATGGTCCAAAATGGAAGGGAAAAGCATGGTGCTGAGGGAAAGGGCTGCTGCATGGGGCTGCTCCATGTAATGTAATGTAATCTTCTCACGTGAAATATGGTCCCTTTCTCCCAACTGCCTTGCTTGCTTCCATCTTTTTAACTTAGAAATATGGTAATATGGGATGTTTTATGGACCAAATACAATTATTAGTAGGCCACCCGTTCCTGCAAACCCTTTCATCCCTTCATGCTCATTCTCTCTCTCTCTCTCTCACACACACAGAGTATGTATTATTATGAAGCCAATAAAGATTCTATTTGTGTTCTCATCATCTCCATTCGGTCGGAATAAAGCCCACCAAATCTTCTCAAATCCTATCGCACATTCCTCTCTCTTACAAATATGTGTTACTTTCATCCTAGTAGCATGGGACCTACCGCTAACCGATATTATGCATTTTTATTGGTTAGTTATAGCTGTTAGTCTCACAATTTTAAAACGCGTTAGCTAAAGATAGGAGAGGTTTATAAGAAATGCTTTGTTTTTTCTCTCCAACGGATGTGAGATGTCACAATCTACTCATTTGGAGACCAGCGTCCTCGCTTGCACACCACCCGGTGCCTAGCTCGGATACCATTTGTAACCGCTAAAGTCCATCGCTAACAAATATTGTCCATTTTGGCCAGTTACATATGGTCATCAGTCTCACACTTTTAAAACGCATCTGGTAGGGAAAGGTTTCCAAACCCTTATAAGAAATTTTTTGTTCCCCTCCCGAGAACCGATGTGGGATCTCACATCCCCATCTCCACACCTAACTCTCTACTCTCATCTCCCTTACTCCAGCTCCCACACTCTCGTCACTAACATTTCAACGTATCGATTTTCAACTATTGAACGGATCAAAATTAGTCACCATTGTCAAAACAATCCATGAAGAGTTTGAATCTCATTCCCTGGTTGATTAAAGTTGATGAAGTTTGTGGGGATGGTGGGAGTGTGTAAACGCTGGTGAAAATGAACAGTGGTCCGAGTTAATGATAAGGATGGGGGAAATGGGAAGCGATAAGGGTGAAGAAAGGGGTACAACATTTAACATTTTGAAACCTAATCTTGAAGGGACGTTTTTGTAGCTTCATTTCTCCCTTCTTCCCTCTTTCTTTGTTATACCCTTTTTATTATCTGGTTGCTTTCATCAAAATAAGGTCACCACTCATAAATGGTCCCTCAATATACCTTACTTCATATTCATAAACCTCTCTATCATTCCATTCAATCGCCAATTATGAGTTTGAGTATTAGCTCATTTATGGGGTTGTTCTACCATCGCTTCCAATTTCTTCAAACCTTCATTAATGTTATGTGTATGGTCCCATAGAATGAAATATATGATGATTTCAGTCATCATTCAATACAAAACTCACTTGGAAGATATTTTTAAAAGATTTTAGGTAACGACTAAACTTATTAATAACAAATATTATCCTCTTTGAATTTTTGGTGGTACTAACACAATTTGTGGCGAAAGTAAGAAAGAAAGTGCACAACTTTAGTGTTCGTAAGCCCAAAAGGGGTTCCTTTAATGGTGGATTTGGATTTGTGATTCATCAGCTTTCCAGACAAGCTCAATATCTTCTGATATTCTTCTGGCATCCATTGAAACCCCAAGCAGCCCTCTCTTTGTGAACCCAACCGCATATAATCCACATTCTCCTTTCCATCCATTTGAAATTTCCTTCCTTGGCATCCCATCTTTCTCACTAAACATATTGCTTTCCTGCAAATATGACATACCCTTTTTTTAGTTTCTAATTATGCATCTTCTTAATTTTCTCACTACAACGTAAATTAAGAATCCCGAGATTTAACTTCCAAATCTTTGAATTTCGAGAGTATATTTGTTGAGGACGGTTGGAAGGGAGTCCCACATTGACTAATTTAAGGAATGATCATGAATTCATAATAAATAATACATCTATGACATTGGCATGAAACCTTTCGATGAAGTCCAAAGTAAAGCTACGAGAGTGACAACATGATTTCTAACAATATCATCATACTGAGATCAATGAATAAAAAGTACTAAACTTTAAACAGGATATGCACCTTTAGCCAGGAGGGCACGTTACTTTTGTAACCAGTGGCCAAAATGACGGCATCAAAGTTTTCGACACTGCCGTCGACAAACTCGGCGGCACGACGGCTAAGTCTGGTCACTCCTGGACAGACCTAAACACCAAATAAAAACCACATCAATACATTTAAAAGAAATTATTGAGAATTAATTGACAAACCAAACCAAACCTTAATTTTGCCCGTTTTGATTTTTGCAAAGGTCCCAACATCTAAAACAGGCGTCTTCCCAGACAGATTCTTGAGCTGCAGAGGGCCAAGTTTTGGGCGGCTGAGCCCCAACCTGGCAGTATCTCCGAGTATAAAACGTGAAAGAATAAGAAGAATTTGATCCACTAAACGCAAGGGGAGCCATCTGAGCAAGCTCATGGACAATCCAAAAGTTGATCTTCCCAGCATCTCATGGGGTAGAATGTGCACCTGCAAGAACAACAACAAAAACAAAATGTCAAAAAGTTTTCTCAACTACCGCAATGAAAAGCAATGCACGAACTCATTTATAATGTTATAAATGACCCACGATCGAAATATGTTGAAACAAATAATTGAAGCAACTTCTTCCCAGTTCAATTATTTGTTTCAACATTATGGAGAGCAGTGATTTCTAACATTTTGAACATTTGCTTACTGAATTGCGAGCCACGAGATGAGGGGAAGCGTTGAAGTCACAAAGATCGAGACAAACTTCCACACCGGAATTCCCACATCCAATGACCAAAACTTTCTTCCCGCCAAACGCTCCACCTGTTTTGTAAGAGCTAGTATGAATAACGGGGCCCTCAAATTCCTCCAACCCTTCAATTTGAGGAACAATTTGTTCAGCATTTTCACCGGTAGCCACAATCAACCATTTGCAAAAATACTCAACAACCGTCTCTTTAACCAATTTCCCTTCACCAACAGCCTTGACCCTCCAAAACCCACATCGCTCGTCCCACTCCGCCCTTGTCACCGTGCTGTTGAACACAGGGTTCAACTCAAAGTAATTGGCATAGCCTCTCAAATAGGCCAAGAATTGTTGGTTGGTTGGGTAAGTTGGGAAATGAGAGGGGAAAGGCATGAGTGGTAGCTCACAAAATTGCTTTGGGAGATGCAAGCGCAGACGGTGGTAGGTTTTGAACTGCCACAAGGAAGCTATGCATTGGGCTCTTTCGAGGATCAAAGTTTGAATACCTTTTTGCTTAAGACATGCAGCGGTGGCTAGCCCTGATGGTCCTGCGCCTACTATGAGAGGGCCTTGAACCCAAATTCGTGGAACAGGGTCGCCATGTTTTTGGGTCAGAGGATCGTGCACTCTTTTGCCTTCCAATTCTTTCCAATACTCGTCCATTCAAAGGAATGTAAAAGGGGGGCGGGAAAGATAACTGATTTACAAGTTGGGAACAACAAAGAAACGGTTAGGATCAGTTATGCATCGGCTTGGAAATGAAGTTCTCATATATAGGTCTTGGGGTGTGGCAAACTTGTAATTTTTAAGATTCCATGTTATGAGATCTCACTCGAGTAGTGAGGATAATGAAACTGAATGTAGATACATTTTAAAACTGTGAGACTGCCTATTACATCGGTGACTTGGTTACAAATATCTTAACAAACCAGTTTTAGCTATTAGCCATAGAATAGCTATAGCTCAAACAAATATAGAGAGTTTAATTTATGAAGCAACTGTTCCATTTATAGAAGTTTTTCCACGAGCATGTGATGTGAGTTTGGGCTAAAATGGCTTTTGAGCCCAACTATTGGACTTGGGCGAGCCATTTGAATTTGAGTTTTGTTTTAACTTTGTTCTTGCCCAATCTGATTAAGTTTGATTATTTAGTAAATGGTCCTATAATTTTAATTTTAGTATACACTGTCAATGCACAAAGTTATTTTTAACTTTAGTATATCGATTATTGAATTACGCTGAGATCAGTGTTTAGTCTGTCTATCTCGTTGATTGATTCGATTGACAAATCTAATTTGTTTTATTAGTTAGTTGATTGATACTGATATTGATACCACTCATTTGTGACAATAGTAGCCCTTGAAGCATAGGATGGATGTGATATAGTGGTGTTAGGTTGGAGAGAATTTTAAGGTTAGTGGTCCATTATTTTTCCATGGATATAATCATTATGAATGTAAGGAACCATATAGAAGCATCCCCTCGTATAATTTCTTGTCTACATTAAACTTTTCAAATTCATTTCTCCATGTAATTAGTATGAATAGCTTTATCCAATACTATACTTTTCAAAGCCATTAGACCAAATGTCTTCTCTCCACGGTTGACTTTTTTAAATGATAATATTTATTATAATGGAGAGTATTTCAATTTTTCCAACTTAAAAAGCAGAGTTATAATAGGTTTCATAGTTAGTTTGTTAAATATACCATTTGACTTCTTCATCTTTTAATAAATCTCTATAATTTCAAATTTTTTTTTGTAATTCATTTTATGTTTATTAATACGATAATGATTTTTTTTTTTTTTTTTTTTTTTTTTTTTTTTTTTTTTTTTTTTTTTTTTTTTT